TGAATGTCTGGAGGTGTAGGCACCTCGGAATGATTGTGTTAAGCTAGCACTAAGTCCCTCCCCCATCCACCTTTATTCTTTTCTTTACAATAAGGCTTTCAAATAAGTCATGGCTGTACGGCAGTAAAGCATTGGTGTTGAGCACTGATGTCATGCTGTCGTTGATGATGATGATGATGGTGGGAATGAGGAAAACACCTCGTCCAATCTGGACTTTTTCAAGTCGGAACATAACGTGGTTGAGCAAGGTGTTGTATTCCAACGTTTCGGTTGCCGTCGTCAACCGTTTTCAAGGAGTTCTACAATCAATTGAATACGAATAAATGCAGAGTCACTTGGGTCCAAAATCTTGCCTTCTGATTAAAGTGCTCCTGTGACCTGTTGGACCAGCATGTGTGGCTGTGTCAGTCCTGTGTGCGTGCATGTGTGATTGTGTATCCACACATTAGAAAGATTTGGAGAGGATGCCATGCACTGAAGTAAACAAACGGGATGTATATACGCAACTGAGCGCACGACTGGGCCACAATGTGTACCGTCTCGGGATCCCCATTCAGGGAGACGAAGAGACTGGACCTTACCGTGGTNGCTAAATTGAGACACCTATGACGTCAGAATGGTTTATCCATGAATTTGAAGAGACGTGTGTATCAAGCTACAGTACGGGCTGTTTTCTTGTATGGATGTGAGACTTGACCTATTTGAGCAGCAGAACTGAGACGTCTTCAGGTGTTCGACAATCGTTGTCTCAGAACCATAGCTCGTCTGGGTTGGCGTCGGCGAATCCGTAATGAGGCAATTAGAAAGCGCGTTTTCGGTTGTGTAACGGGTACTTCCATTAAAGAATGTGTCCAGCACCAGAGGCTGCGTTGGTTGGGACATGTTACGTATGCCGAACCATCGTTTGCCGAAGAGAGTGCTGTTTTCCATGCCCAATTCGGAGTGGCGTAAACAGAGAGGTGGCCAACCCTTGACTTGGCAGAGGAGTATGAAGGAGATCACGAAACGCTTGGGTGCTGTCGGTGCTACTCGCCTTCCAGAATGGGGACCGCGTGATCTTCACTGTGCCTGGTTGGAGACACTACAAGATATGGCTGCCAACCGATGTCAATGGCGTTC